CGGCAATGCGCTCTCAGCTCTCCAATCCTCTGGAGTGAAACGGCCTGCAGCAGCAAACCTAAGCAACAGTTTTCTTTTAATTTCTAGAAAAACAAGGCTAGCATCCTTGAGTGATGCTCTTTCTTCCCCAAAACAAAGATAAGTGTCTCAGGACGAGATAAGCGTCCCTTCCCCTAGAGAAAGACAAGATAGGTGTTCTAGCTTTCTATGAGAAACAAGTTATTTCTGAGAAACAAGTTATATAAGTGATCGATGAAAAATATGTTTGCGCAATTCGACCAAGGCACAATAATATTATGGGTGAATCATGGACGACGTATTTGAATCTCAGGATGATTAGTCCATACATGATTAGAATCAATCCATACCTGAATCACCTGGCATGCATGTCTGCTAGGTGCAGTTGGAGATGCTCCAAACTGTGAGTATTGGAGTCAGACAATCACAACTTCCAAAATCATTACAGTAACAGGAGGACAGTGAAGATATTTCTTTAATTCTATGCTACATGGACGACGTGGCCATCTGCGAGGGGGGGGGGGGGCACCTGAAAGTTTGTCTCAATACACCCATACAGGTATCTTAATTGGGAAAAGCATGATCATCACTGAATTCTCATTTCCCGGTCTTTACTATAAATCAGTATGCAAAAAAATCTTTTGTAAAATAATTTTCATTTTACAAAAGAAACAATCCATCCTTTTTCTGTTACCACTTATCCTATTCAGGGTTGCAGGGGGGTCTGGAGCCCGTAGGCACAAGGCAGGGAACAACCCAGGATGGGATGCCAACCCATCACAGGGCACCAACCCATCACAGGGCACAGTCACACACCAGTCACACCTATGGGCAATTTGGTAACTCTAATTAACCTTAGTATGTTTGTAGACTGTGGAGAGAAACCAGAGCACCCGGTGGAAACCCCACAGTGACACAGGGAGAACATGCAAACTCCACACGCAGGACCCTGGTGGAAAATCAAACCCTGGTCCCAGTGGTGTGAGGCAGCAGTGCTAACCACTGCACCACTGTTTAACTTGCTGTCAGTACTGAAAGTGTGTTGCAGTACAGACCTTGGTTTGAACTGTGCACCGATCCTCGGCACTGCCCGCTTTTGTCTTTATAATTCCAGATGGCACAGTTTACTGATTTGCTGGGATAAAATGAGGCCCATAAAATTTCCCCCTGGCTGCATTGACTGCACTGAACAGCCTGTTAACCCAGTCAGCACAGCTTGGCTGTACCGCCATATAGATAGATCCCAGGATAAAGGGGCTCAGTGAACGTGGTCTGGACCCTATGCAGGAGGGTCATGTTGTTGTCAGAGGCGTTGTAGAAGGACAGAATCCCTGCCCTGGCATCCAGGTACACCCCTATCTTGGAGGATAAGCATCCATATAGCTGTATTGTCTCATTATTGTGGCAGAATGAGTAATTATATGAGTAATAACCACCCGGATTGTATTTGAAACACCAGGACTTGTCATTTTGTCCATACATGCTGTCATTACTGCCTTCTTGCCTGCCGATCCCTTTGTATGCGAGGGCTATACCGAACTGCTGCCCACTCCACTCAACCTCCCAATAGCAGCACCCAGTCAGACCCTCTGTACACAGCACTTGGCCATTTGAGTTAAACCTCTCTGGGTGATCAGCATATGGCTGCATGCATCCCTCCCATGTCACCACTCTGTTGAACTCAGACAGACGGAGGTTTCTGTTCGCCGTGTTGGGGTCCAGAGTGAGCCGACAGGAATCTGGGGATGGGGGACATATTATAGTGAAGTTTGCATCTTATTCGCTTCTTACATTAAACAAGAGTGTAAACGTTATTGGTATGTTTTAATACTTCTGTATTATTTTAATCTTCTATAAATATTTTTCATGTTTAAGTCTGTCAGAGCATGTATACATTACATTGTGGGAAACAAATGTCTGCAAAATGTGATAACCTGCTATTTTGATATTGTAACGACATTTTTTTAGTTCCTACTGTATATTGCTATAACAATATAAATGTTCTAATGAAGCATAAACCCCATGCTTTTGGTGAATCTTACCACCTAGATTTCTAAATACTGTAACTGTATTGAAAAATAACAATGCTGTAATTTGTACATATGACACTGCTCTCTTTGCTCCGACTGAATTTGGAAGCAGAAGAAACTTAAACTGTGTTTAGATTTGAAAGACACTAGTATACACTATACAATATATACAGGTACGCACATAACATATGCAGATATGCATGCGCAACAAAAATCATAAATTCGTAACATCATTTGTGTGACAATGCCGTCTTTGCGTACCTGACAATCAGTTCAACACCTCATATCATGTCTACATGTATTTCTTTACAAATTGTCCAAAAAACAACAGACATTAAGCAGCTATTCTGTCATTTTGCCAAATGTCCCCCAGAATGTTTTTTTGACGTAAAAATGCTAAAAGTCTCATATTTTATTTAGTTGCTTATGATTAAGGTTAGGGCTGGGTAGGGGTTAAGGTCATCATGTCGTCATCATTTCCCCATAAAAGTGTGTGTGTGTGTGTGTGTGTGTGAAGACACTCACATTCTAAGAATTCTGCTCTGGTCGAGGGCACTATTTCCTGCAGGACGACGTAACTAGCAACTAGAAGAACACAGAAAAATGGAGATTTGAGTTAAAGAAATTTACTTGTGGGAGATGGACTTCACTCACTGTGGAGACAACAGCACTATCCATCCATCCATTATCTGGCGCTTAAACGGGGTTGGGTTATGGGCACAGTAATCTAAGCAGGGATGCCCAGACCTCCCTCTTACAAGCCACCTCTTTCAGCTTCACCGGGGGAAACCAAGGCATTTCCAGACCAGCCAAGAGATATAATCTCCCCAGCATGTCCTGGGTCTGCCCCGGGGCCTCCTCCCAGTTGGACATGCGCGAAACACCTCCCCAGGGAGCCATCCAGGAGGCATTAGGCTACATCAGGGGTCACCAACTCCGGTCCTGGAGAGCTACTATCCAGTAAGTTTTCTATCCTACCTGGCTTCTGATGAGCCACACTAGTTCTCAGGTAAATACCAGGAGCAGGTGTGGCTCATCAGAAGCCAGGTAGGATAGAAAACTTACTGGATAGTAGCCCTCCAGGACTGGAGTTGGTGACCCCTGGTCTATATAAACATGAACAGAAATGGAAAATGTATGAATTAACCTGTCTGATGGATTTCTGCCGTTTTCTTCTCGCAAACATTCTCCAGTTCCTCCTTCAGCCCAGAAACTACATTCTTCACATTCTCATAAGAGCATTGTGGATTGATGGAGATTCTGGGTCCAAATGCACCGTCAGAAGGGCCAAGAAGACACTGAAACCTCTACAGACACAAAGTCTAATTAGACAGGTACTTCGAAACAAAAGTGTAGTGCAATTAATTTATATTTATCATTACTTTCTGGCAAATGACATTCAAGTTGAATAAGTACAAATGAAAATTTAAATCCACTTGAATACTCTGGTTTTCATTTACATTGCATTTAACATTTATTTATTTAGCAGATGCTACTGTCCAATACAATTTACCAGTGAGAAAAGCAGACATAGGACTAAATCACACATACACAAGTCATTTATATGAAGTCTAAGTCAAGTCTCAGATCAGGTCAGGTTGGGAAGCCTGTGTTGATGCACTGCATTGCCGCATCCACCACATGGCAAATGTCCTTGGGATCCCAGCTGGCCACCTGACCCCCCAGGCAGACATACGGTCCAGTCCCACCCTCTGTAAATGGTCATCCATCTGCCGCAGCCAGGTGTTACGTGGGCGTCCCCTTGGCCTGGTCCAGCTGCTTGGGTCCTCAGCAATGAGGATCCCACGAGCCGGATCACCCTCAGGGAAACGCGCCGCATGGCCATAGTGCCGTAACTGACGCTCCCTCACAATGCAGGTAATGTGGACTTCCCTAGCAACTACTTGTTCAACACAAAGTCAAACCAGTGGTACCCAAGGATTCTCTGAAGAGACACAGTAGCACCTCTTTCCAGTGACCTCATAACCCTCAATGCTCTCCCAATCCGTCTGCGGACTTCAAAGGAAGAGTCAAGATCAGTAAATCTTTCTTCACCAACAGATGCCCCACCAACTTTTTGGACCCCACAAGCCTGCCCAACACCCAGTCCATACAAGCATTATCCTGACTGCAAGTCTCCGAGGAACAGATTCAGATGTGCATAATGCTTCGATTTCTCTGTACGCCGGACATGGGCCACTAGACCACAGATGGTGTGTCACCTGCTCACAGATTCATCTAACAAATGCCTCCTTTTCTGCCCTCAGAACCCTCATAGCCATCCTCCTCCGTTCCCGATACAGACTGGAGTTGCCACCAAGTCGTCACTCTGACTCCTCTCCATAATATCCAGCGTGCCCTGCAAGATGAAACCCCTCCTTCTGGGAACACTGGCAACACCAACACAGCCCTCGGCAACTGTCAGGGTCTTATCATGGACGATGTCCCACATCACATTTGAGTCAGCAGTCACACCCAAGTCTGCAAGTTCCTCACACAAACTGTGTGCAATCTCATTTGAAACAGCCTTAGTCAAGTCTCAAGTCAACAATATCCAAGTCTAAGTTGAGTCTTTTTCAGAAATTGGAAAGCATGTCTCATAAAATAAGTCATAAAAACTAAGACTCGAGTACGACTTGAGTCTAGTCATGTGGCTCGAGTTGCTCACCTCTGGAAAAAAGCTTGTGGTCTGGGAGCAGAGACAGACAGTATCTCTGGAGCAGTTGGGGTTAATGGTCTTGCCCAGAGGCCCAACAGTGATGTGGTTACTATACCAGCCACAGGATCTGAAGCCATGACCTTTTGTGCACAGCTACCAATTCCTAACCAGCTGAGCAACACAACACCCCCCATGTTAGCTTTCATACTGTCAAAGTCATTGTTATGTTACCTGGAGGAAATGAATGTGGTCCACTGTGTGTGAAAGCTGCTCCAGCTCCAACTGTCTCCTCTTCAGTTCAGCAATCTCCTCCTCCAGTCTCTCCATGTGTTCTTGAGCCTGACTCACTGCAGCCTTCTCCTGAACTCTGATCAGCTCTGTCACCTCAGAGCGTCTTCTCTCAATGGAGCTTATCATCTCAGTGAAGATCGCTGTTGGTGACACAGAGGATAGTAAATTGAAATTGTCCCCTTTTTAGTCTCTAGAGAGCCTCGTTGTACAAAATCGATGTGAGCCAACAGGATGCATATAAACAACACAGGGCTGTAGTTTGAGCCGAATTTAAGATATAATATTATAGATTATAATATTTTAACCAAAATTGTTATATGAATGGCTTGGAGTGGACATTTCATCTGTGTATTTTGTACCTAAAAAAATAGTCAAAATCAGCAGGGGTTCCCCTTGAGTGCAGAGTCCAGGGTTGTTCGCCCCTATGCCAACCCCCCCCAAACTCAAGTCCCTGGACTTAAGCCCCCCATCTGTGGACTGTGGGAGAAGAGCCTCAGGCCTGAAATTGCTCTTAGAAGCTGGCTGTCATCTTCACTCAAAGTTCATACTTACTGGGATTGAGTCCACAGCCATTTTCAGCTCCTCCAGTTCCTTCTTTCTCAACCCAATTTTCTGCTCAAATCCTTTCTGTGTTTCCACCATTTGTTTCTAAGTAAAAAAAAGTTGATGAAACAAGTTTATTTCCTTAACTGAAATAATATTCTTTAATCAAGTGCTGCCTGTGGCAGGCTCCAGGTGTTCCTTGACCTGGTTAAGTGGTTAGGGGACGGATGGATGGATGGATATTCATAAATATATTGACTGTAGTTAGCATAGACTGGGTAAAGACCCACTGACTCATATTCCCAGTGAGGGATGTAAAAAAGTTCTGAAAGTCAACCTGAAGTTTAACTTATTGTATATAATACATACACTTAGTTGCCACTTTATTAGGTACACCCCATCTATCATTACCTGATCCATACCTTATTATTGGTAATAATAAGTAATTACCAATAACTTTACTATTAACTTATTATTATTATTATCATTGATAATAATAATAATACAAAACGTTGTCCATAGGATTTTGATCAGTCAAATCGTTCCAATGCTACAGACCAAAGAATTTCTTGGGTGTGGTCTTTTTGCACTTAATGACCAGAACATTCTGTTCTCGCCAAACTTGCTATATGTAGTTGGCATGACATTCTGAAGCCACTCCCCAAATTTCGTAAAAAGTCACCCAGTAGAGGCCTATAGCTCAAAATAGCTTATAACTCAGAAATCATTCGACAAAGAAAGATGAGATTTTGAATATGCATTCATGGCCATATGTCCCAACTAATCATTCAATAAAAGTTAATCTACTTATTAAACATGGCTGACAACTGCCAATCAGATTTAAGCAGGCTGTAATTACACATGTATATGAATGAGAATCAAGAAATTTAGTGCCATGGTGTAACTTTCCCTCCAATATTCAGGCTGCAAAGAGACTCCAGTCAGCCTGAAGGTGGCACTACAGTGCTGTGTTTTACATTTTGCCCCATATTTTCTGAACTGTGGGTCATAGAAAGTAGTTACTCATCTTTGCTAATAAGATCATCAAATTCTGCCCCTTAGATCTTTAGCTAATTTGCGAAATATACTAAATGTACTTTTTTGAACTTGTCCTAGACAACTGCAACATCAAAAAGTTGTATGTAAGATTTTGATCAGGGCAACTGTTCTGATCCTATAGACCAGTTAATTTCTTGGGCGTAACCTATTTGCACTTGAGCTATTTCTCATCAACAGAACATCCAGTTCTTCACAGAATAAAAGTTCATCTGCCACAAATCATGTCAGCTAATTGTGGACAGCGAGTGGGATCAGAACAAACAAAAAAACTTAAGACAGGTAGAGCATCGAAATGGTGGTAAACCGCTCATACAGTACAACGTCTTATTGTTTAAACATCGTCAATTCTGTCAATCGTGCTTGACATGTACAGCCAGGAGGCAGATAATTTACTCCATCTACTGCTGTATGTGTATAATGACATTTAAACTCTAGTCCTCGAATATAAGATGACCCCAGTGTTTAGATGTACTTCTTTGGAAAAAACACCATCTTATATTTGGGTCAGTATGGTAAATATCAGCTGAAATTGCTGCTCTCCACTGACATATTATTGTGGTATACTTACAGATTCGGTTCACTCTGAACTTATGTATGACATTTGGCAAATTTGTTACTGCCATATTTACATCACTCCTAATCATTGAGATAAAAAAAACATATATTTCTCTAGTTCAGGCGTCTACAACTCCGGTCCTGGAGAGCTACTATCCAGTAGGTTTTCCATCATACCTGGCTTCTGATGAGCCACACCTGTTCTCAGGTAAATACCAGGAGCAGGTGTGGCTCATCAGAAGCCAAGTAGGATAGAAAACCAACCACTAACCACTAACCACTGCGCCAACGTGCCGCCCAAGTTGTTTGCCTTGTTGGCACAATCCACTGCAGTATAATGGCGGCAGCGGGTAGGGACATGTACGATCACCTCGCCGTGTAGGGGGTGCCTAATGAGACCCATAAATAGGCACTCAGAAAGAGGTGCAACTACTATGCAGAACCTTTGTTAAACAGAAAGAGAACACAAAGAATCCAAAATCTAAATACCTGACTGAATATCCCATTCTGGGGCATGGGGATCACTCACAAGCAGCCCGTTAATGTTGTGAAAAAAATATTGATGAGATTGGGTTGGATCATGAAAATATCATGAAAGAAGTGGTACAAATCAGCCCGTTGTACAATATGCTGCAAAATGTAATGTTGAGCATTCGCGGTATATACAAGGTGGAAATCGGACTGTTTGTACAGATCAGGAAGTAACACCATTTAGTACTGCGTAGGACCCACTTTGCCCAAAGAAGCACTTTAATGGTAAAATAGGTGTGTTCAGAGAAGCCTTTCTTTACAACACAATTGTACTGGGCTGATATTTTTGTACTTGTGGTCTTCCTGTAATTAGGGTGACCACCTCCAACCAGGCCAAATGTGGGACAAGTTTGTGTGGGACAATGTGGCAAATGTCACCGCGAGAGGTAACCTAAAATTTTGATATATATCTGTCTAACTGATTAAGAGACAATTTTTGGTAATGAATTTTCTCTGCAAAACTGATTTATATAACAAGTTCTCTTCCTACCTGTATTTCTGCCACTCGTGCAGAAGCTGAGACTGTATCATGGCCTCTGTGTTCATCCATCGTACAGAGATAGCAGATACACTGCTGGTCGGTACGGCAGTAGACCTCCAGGGGTTTGTCATGGTTGGAACAGACCTTTTCCTGCAGATGTCCAGTGGCATCAGTCAGCTTGTGCTTCTTAAAAGCTGGAGACTCATAGTGAGGCTGGAGGTGAGTTTCACAGTAAGAGGCCAGACACCCCAGGCAGGACTTGACAGCTTTCTGTTTTCTCCCAGTACAGACGTCACACTCCACATCTCCAGGTCCAGCATCATGGTCAGCAGGAGTAGTTGGCTGTAGTCCTGTCTTCAGTTTCTTGACTACTTCAGCCAGCATGGTGTTTCGGCCCAGAACAGGCCTGGGTGTGAAGGTCTGTCTGCACTGGGGGCAGCTGTAAACTCCAGCATGATCCTCTTTATCCCAGAAGTTCTTAATGCAGTTCATACAGTAACTGTGTCCACAGGGAATAGCCACTGGATCCTTCAGTAGATCCAGACAGATTGAACAGCTGAACTGATTCTCAGTTAGTGTGACACTGGCTTCAGCCATTTTACCCCAATAACTGATTGGATTCACTTTCGTTTTCTCTCAAAGTCGTCGATGTGTGAGAGTGGGAGGAGCTTCCTGCTTCCTGGGCTGCAGTAAGGTAAGGTAAGGTAAGGTAAGATAAGATAAGATAAGATAAGATAAGATAAGATAAGATAAGATAAGATTAGATAAGATAAGATAAGATAAGATAAGATAAGATAAACTTTATTTATCCCGAGGGAAATTATTTCGTCTTAAACATGCTCACAACAAGAGGAAATAAAGATGAGACAGTAAAGAGCTTTAAAAGTTCTTTAAGAGCTGTGTGAAGCTATTTTTTTTACTTAAATCTTTGTTCTTAGCTCTCTTATTACAATCAAATCATGCATAATGGTTCTACCTGCAGGCTTTGAAAAGGCCTTCAACCAGGAGTGCAAATGTCACTATATCTGTGTTACTCCTTAGTTTTCAAAGTGTTGCTGACATCACTGAACCCACTAAATTTAATTTTTAAACACTTGAGTAACAGGAATTTCTCTAAATGACAGCTCACTGTAAGAACAGATAAGAACAGATAGAAATATGGTGTCCAAGCTTTTACGAGATTCCGAGGTACAGGGTCTTCACTTTGACAGTTAGAAGTTCACTTATTTTTAAAGCACAAATGAAAACATTTGAAATCATTGAATTTAAAAATCTAGAAAACAGCCTAAGAAATGAACTGTACAAGTGTCTGTAATTGCTGTGACCTAAACCCTACAATGGGAGGAGTCCAGCATATATGAAGGGCAAATATGTATAATTTCATTGATAGCATCATGCTGTGAGGTGGTAATGGACGCCCTATTTTGGTGGGTTAGCCTGCTCTGTTTGTCTTATCCATCCAGTCAGACCCCAGTTGTGAAAACCTGAAATTGACGTACATGCCTTTCTCTTTTGGTAGAGTTTAACTATAGTATGTACAGCACTGGAAAAAATGTAGAGACTACTCTATATTTTGTAAATATCTGCATTTTTTAAAATATATTTTACATTTTTAAATATTTTAATATTGTAAATTTTACAAAGGCACATACCCATAAATTGAGAAATGAGTGAAACTGAAAATGTTTCTGTGGTTTCTTAATTTTTTCCAGGGCTGTACTGTATATTTCCAGTGTTTTACATTCTATATTTGATAAACTTTTATTTTCCACTAGTATAACTATACATGTAAAAGTTGCTTATAATATATTTTGACCTTAATCTCAGTTTTTATTTTAGTGTTTCTTGCTTGACCAGCAAGTTACTGTTGAGTATTCGTGTTTGTGTTGTGACTTACTCCAGTAATAATACGTTTACATTTAAATTTACATTTATGGCATTTGGCAGACGCCCTTATCCAGAAGGACTTAAATAAGTGCTTAAAAGTCTCATGAGTGAATTCTGATACTGGTTTAACAGAACCCACTTAAGAATACTATCACTCTAAAAAACTCTGTTGGCAAGAAATACATTTTTTTTAATAATTAGAGTATAATCCTGGAAGTGCTAATCCAAGTATTTCCGAAAGAGGTAGGTTTTTAGTCGTTGTTTGAAGGCACCCAATGACTCAGCTGTTTGGACATCTATGGAAGTTTAGTCCACCACATAGGTGCCAAAACAGAGGAGAGTCTAGATGCATGTCTTCCATGTGCCTTGTAGAGCCTTGAAGCGGTGCTGTGCTACATACTAACAGAAAACAAAGAAACCAATGACTGACCACTTAAAATCATATGTAACTGCACATCATAAATGAATGACATTGGTGAAACTCACCCGCAACCCGCCCTATATCTGCGGAAGGCGTCTCTCTGGCTGCCCACCACAGTTTGTGGTGAAGAATGGGATCTAGTATGGAGTATCTCAGTCTCTCCTGACTGAGGTCCTGAAAGGAGTCTAAGACCATGCAGGTCATCAAGGGCAATTCAGCACCTTGGACCTTGCACAGCAGTGGTTCTTCTGGCTGAACATGGACAGAGATGTGAGAGAATATGTGTGCTGCTGTCAGCATTTCATTGTGAGTAAATCTACTGAAGCTGAAGCTAGAGCACCCTCACATAAAGCCGGCCACTGGAGCTAGTCTAGGTGCTTTTCCACTGCACCAGGTACCATACTTTTGCTACACTGTGTAGAGGTTGGGGACAGTGACTTTGGATTGGCGGACTGGGGTGGTGGTCCAAATCTTTAAGTCAGGGCAATGGAGGATGTGTTCCAGTTTCAGGGGGGGGTCACAATCCTCAGCTTCCCTGGGAAAGTCTACTCCAGAGTACTGGAGAGGAAGGTCTGCCCGTTGGGTTGAGGAACAATGCCCAGTTTGTCCAGTTTGTTGCCACGTCCCCATTTGTTCTGAGAGCTGCACTGTGGATTGTCCTTTTGCCAGACCCTCCCTTAACATTCTTCTACTTTCTTGACCTCAGTTCTGTTAAAATCACTGCTGTCACCTACTGTACAAACATCTCGTCTATTTCCTTGCACATGAACAGTCAACATGTATGGACCCAGATGGTCACAGCTGGTCTAAAGTAACTAAACTTTATATTGTTATTGTTAATCAATCAATCATAGGCTATCAAATACATGTATAGGCTACAAATTGAACATTTGATTTGAAAATCAACTTAGCCTGTTTATTAACAAGCATTGTTTTTGTAGTTGTTCATGCAGTTAGTGGACGTCACAGAACAGGAAGTAAAATGTAACATCACTTTTAATTAGGATTAGTTACCCAAATTCAGATACAGGTTACTAGAGACATGCTTTGCTTCATAACCAGTCAGTTTATTTTCTGTATCTTTTTGGGTCTTCTGTACACACAAAAGATCACATTTAATGTAGTTGTACTGTTTTAACTACTGGTCCTGTATAAAATACACTGTAGTGCCGGCAGGGTTTGCATATCCTGGCAGCTCCAGTAAAATTTGAAAATTGCCCCTGTCTGGGTACGTAAACATGTTGAGGTGTCATCATTCACACTTACTCCCGACTGTCAAGTGTGTGTTTACACGTGTCTTGTGTGAACCCTGTTCATTTCTCGCGTGTCTCTAGTTATTGTGTAAATTACCTACTATGGGCCTTACTGTCCAACTTCTAACCCCCCCCCCCCCCCCGTTAAACTTGGTCCAATGCTCGTTAGTTAAGGACTCAATAAACGAGTTTGACTCTTCCCAGCAAGCAAGTCTCCTCGTCATTTGCCGCTTTCAATGCTACAGTACTACATATTGCACATAATAGTTTCCTGGTTCAGTCCCATAGAAGGGTGACATCATGGATGTGACTTATAAACTGTAACATTGTGGGTGCAGCCTTCAATCTGCCACCCTACACAAGCCGGCATAGAGAACTTGTGAAAGGTGCTATATAAAAATAAATTTAATTGACCTGCTCCATGACTATTTTCCCTAATGGAAAGATAAATGGATGCTCAGGATATTTGTGTAATGAATATAATACTAATAAAGGCGCTGTGCTTTTAGTACCTGCTCATTTTGAATGACACATTCAGTAACATTTTGACATTTCCATAGGTCCTTGAAGAATGCCGTGGATGTGGTCGGTTCATCTCTTTTCATTCTGCTGGATTTCAGATGTGCAGGAGCTTGATGTAGGACTCGGTCAGACAGTCCCATCAGTCTGTGCAGCGAAGCCACATCAGGTCTCAACTCATCCCATTTTATCCCATCGAATCCTAAGGAAATAGAACAAATAATTTCAAATTTGAACAATTTTATAATCATGTGCATTTTCATTTTATGCAAAATATTAATGTCAGAATTTTGTTTTTTCGTGTCTGTTGGATACAAACAGCTCAAAAATAAAATGTCAAAAATTAAAGTTTCCAGCCTCTTTGATAAAAATCTGGGCATCTTACCAAATTGTGCTGCTTGACTCAGAAGTGAGACGAGGACCATCACCCTCAGGGCACGCAGGCGTCCTACCATCGCGGCCATCGTCCCTGCTGGCAAATGAACAAGCATTACCCAGTGTGACCTCATAGGCAAGGTCCTAATGACAGTGTCCATAATGTGTAATAGTACCTTTCAGAGGCAGTTCTGTCTTCATCAACCTACGAGACTTACACTGTGCACAGAATTATTAGCAAAGTGTGTATTTTGCTTGTATCTTTTTTAACCAATAGTTTCAGCCCAGATTAATCTCCAATTAAGAATGGCTTGTTTAAAAATAAAGATGCTATGTAGAATTGCCAATAGTTTATTTTTCCTTATATGTATCCAAACAATTAAAACTATTTTTTACTATTTCTGTTGATGGTGATAAGTGAAAAAATCACTGTTTCTGAATTGCCTCAAGGGTGTGGATTTGGGTATGAACCAGGGGGCCATTTCAGAATGAATTCATCAATTACAATCCAAATCAGGAAATGGGACTCGAGTAGAATTTAAATCTCCCTGAAATTCCAATTCAATTCCAATTCAATTCAAATTCTGTTCTACATAGTCAGAGTACAGCATTATTTCTACCAATACTGTTGGAGTACTGCATTATCCCTACCAATACTGTTGCAGTACTGTATTATCCCTACCAATACTTGTCGGAGTACTGCATTATCCCTACCAATATTGTCAGAGTACTGCATTCTACCAATACTGTCGGAGTACAGCATTATCCCTACCAATACTGTCGGAGTACTGCATTATCCCTACCAATACTATCGGAGTACTGCATTATCCCTACCAATTTTTTCACATTAACATTCTCAGAGCAAAATTAACAACAAAATGTATCTTGACATTTGTCGTACAAAAACAAGGGTGCCACCTACATTTACTATCTTTCCAGTAATACCAATATCATTTTTTTTTGTTGATTAAGCAATTTCAGATGATTATGTTTGGTACGGTTTTTGTTTCAGTTAATGTTTTGTGATGCACACATTAAGCAAGTGATAAGTTCATTCACTTAAACATTCAGAATTTTCCTGTCCGTAAACAAATTTTATAGCTAATCTGTAATGATTTTGTTCCTTATTGTTTTTGTCTGAATTTACCTACAGATGCCTCCCAAAAAAGAAAAGAGGGGACAACAGA